TATAATAATTTCTGGGTCACGTTTGTAACAAGCTGAGCAAAACATATTTTTTCTTGCTCAACGATACAAAGCAATTTTCATACAATTCCCATCATTCGATTTTTCATTTTCTTTGCTATCGATAAATATCGATATACATTGTAAATGGGGTATATTGACTTAGAGAACACGTTTAACCAAGCAGCGTATATTTTCTTGATCAGCTGCACAAAGCGTGTCTTAACCTTTGCCCATCAATCAAGATTATTCCCGTTTCTTTCGTTTCGATAAATATCGATACACATTGCCTGCACAGTCTGTAAATGTACATGGTATCTCCTAGTCAGCACTTGTGCTTGATTGCTTGTTACTTTTTTGCTGGCTGGCGCCTCGCGTGTAACTTTTTGCATGTTGTGTACTGTGCATTACACTTGGTTAGCCAACGAGCAAGGAGGCGGGGCTGGGGGCCTGGGACTACAAAATAGGCGGCCAGGGGGCGGAGGGGAAAGGACGCTTGAGAGCGGAGCAGGCTAGAGGATGGAGTCTTGGAGATGGCTTAACAGTGCGCAGCCTTAGGTGGGCTTGTGTGTGCTATTATGGTTGATTAACGAGCTGGAAAAGCCAGCGCCTTAAATAGATCGCGCCGAAGTGGAGCATGAACTGAGCCAGTTACAGCGATAATTTTATCGATTTGCAGCGATAAATAACTGAGCGAACGAGAGCTCTGCATAACTCACTTTGCGGGAATAGTAGCATGCACAGATTAGCGAAAACTAAGCGAATGCAACGATATGTTTATCGATGCCAGACACATTCCGATTATTATAATGTATCGATTGCCTCAATAAACCTATCGATAACTAACGACTTGACGCTCAACTATACTTAGGCACGCATTTTGCTTGTAGCCCTTGCCTTTAATCGATAAATGCTCAACATGAACAATCGGTTCATCGGCTATCGATAACTAAGTAAATCAATCAATTTGGTTCAAGAGGCTATATTAATACAATCATTATTCTTTTTTTATACTTAAAATGTATATTATTTAAAAACAAAAATGGCGGCAATTGCGAATTAATCACTGATCAAATTTGCATATTTTAAGCTATCAAAGTTATCGATTAGCTATCGATAACATTTAAAAACGCATTGCTGTTGCTCTTTCTCTCTCTCTCGCAATCGCTACAATATTTGCACACTCTCAAAAATATACACACACACACTCCCGCACACACATGGAAACTCATTGACCAATAGCAAAAAGTCATCATTAGTTTGAGTGAAGCGCCAAGTTGTGCTGTGGTACAAGACGGCGAATACAGGTTTTAGACAGCGGGTGGAGCGCGGCGAGCTTTGTGCTTGGACCGCCTGGTGTTTGTCGCAGCAACAAGAAGAACATGAAGTGCGCTTTACCCAGCGGGATAGCGACGAAATGAAAATGGAAATGGAAATGGAAAATTGTTGTGCGATTTTCATTTGGCGCTCTGCTTCGGCTTGTTTCTGTTTGCCATCGTAGCCCTTTTGTTGTTGTTGCTTTTTACGACATGCCGTCAGATTCGCGCAGTGGGACAGCCTGTTCTACTCCAGTCAATCCGCCACGAGCACTTGGTTAATTTAATCGTTGGCCAAGCTGATTTTGCCCACCTTGCCTAACTTTAATTCGATTTAGATCACCATTTCATAATCTTTGACTCCTTCTGTCTGTCTGTTTATAGATGCTTCGATTTCTACAGTCAACTGATCGATATGATATTTTGTATCATTAGCTCTGTAAATTTGACTGACAGTCGATTGACTAACCGATTGATCGGCTGACCAAATAGCTTATGGTTTGACTAACTGATTGAAGGATTATCTGACTATGTGATCGACTGTCTGAGTGTTTAACATACTGCGTGATTTATTAGCTGACTGATTGAATGACAAACTATTTGGCTGATTGATTGACTGGTTGGTTGACTGATCGAGGGAGTGATGGTGCGACCCATCGTTTGATGCCCTGATAATCGATTGTTCGACGAGCTGACTGATTGATTGACCAACTAACTGACTGATTAATTGATTGAGTGGCGGACTGAATGATTGATCGACTGTTTGCTAGACTGACTAAGTGACAGGCTGGGTGACTAACATAGATTTTGATTGATTGACTAACTCTCTGCTAGACGGATTGACTAACAGACTTACTGATGGCTTGCTTGACGCACTGACCGATTGACAAATTGACTGACTGACTGATTGATGGGGTGTCTGATGGACTAACTGACCGAATGATTGACTAAGGTTATTGCTTGATTGACTGACTGACAGATTGACTGGCTAGTTGACCGGCTAATCGAATGCTTGAGTGACTGCCTGAGTTATTGTTTGACTCACTAGCTGACTGACTGATTGACTAACTGACGGGTTGATGGATTGTCTAACTGATTGAATGATTGACCGACTTAATGGCTGAAATCGATTGATAAAGTGACCGCCTGAGTTATTGATTAAATCACTTGTTGACTAACTAATTGATTGACAGATTGACTGACTGATTGACCGACTTATTGACTGACTGACTGGCCTATATAGGTAGCTCACAACCGTCAGCTAATTCACCCAGTTTTCTTCATGGGAAATCTCTAACACATGCTGGCACAGTTCATTAGCCAATTGCCAGCTCAGATCAGCCGAAAGTGGGCTTAGGCCAAAGTTAAAGAAACTGTTTGCCAACAGGAAATCCCCAGAAGGCAAAAGTTGTAAGTTATTTTGATACCCTGCAGCCATTTAAAATGTATAACCGCGTAGGGTATATAATCAACGACAATTTAGGCTACTTCATTGAATGATTTCATTCGATTTTTTTAACAGAAAGTTGTCCAAACTTTTTAAGAAAAGACCAAAAGGTAACAAAATTAACTTGCGTCGGACCAGCAAACGTGAAGTTGCCGGTTCAAATCCAGCAACAATTTGTCATCTATATATTGTATTTATTTAGTTTGATATTCCTCTCATTTCACTTGACAAACTTAATGGATAATGTCATTTTTACATGCTCTATGTTTGTACAGGGTATCTGACTGTGCGGCTTTGTGCATGATTCTATTACTTGTTCCGCTTACTTTTGTCTGGAACTAAATACTAAACGAAATATATTTTGTTTCAAGGCTTTTAAGCGCGCTTAAAATAGTTGAACATACTTGTTGTTTGTTCTTAGCTTGTTCTGCTGATGCTGCTGCTGCTAGTGCTTCTTTTTCTTCTTCCTCTTCTGCTAGTTCTTGTTCTTGTTCTTGCTAGTTGTTGTTGCCGCTTCGCTGCGTATCGTTAGACAACAACTCAAAATATTTATGAAGATGCCCGGGCAAAGTTTTTGGTGGCAGGCGACATGAAAACTTGTCGAAACAATCTGCAGGGCAATGTCAGGCACCACCTTGTTGCCCAGCCCAGACGCCCCGGCCCCTTTTCCGGCCAACTTATCCAACTGCTTTACATATAACCCACAGCCGTGGCTGCAAACTTTGGACATGTGTATTAGTGGTCCGCGCCATCCGTTGCGTATGAGCTATTCGAAATTTATGCACAAGCTGCAGGTCAACTGACAAACAAGCACATAAATCAATTCATCGAATAACACAACACACACACGCACACACACTCGCACAACACAGCTTGTAGTTAAACGTGTAGCCATTAAGCAGCGGGGTGTGCGTTTGTGTGTGTGTGTGTGTGTGTGTGTGTGTGTGTGCGTCTGTTTGTCACAGCTTCGGGGCGCAATTATTGGGATTTTGCGCACAACAAGCACAAACACAACAGCAAGAAGTAAAACTGATCCAGTACTGAGTAGCCGACTAAAGAATACCCTGCAAGCCGTTTAGCTGCCTTGTCTCTTCCCCTTTCTTGCCACACATTGTGTGAACTATATACGTTCCCGATTAACTGGGTTAGTTGCTGTGCGATCTTTATGAAATTTCCAGCACTTGATCATAATTGAAAAGCATGTGCAAGGCTCTAGCCGTAAATCCCTTTTGCTATACCCTATATCGATATCTGCTTTAAAAGCAATCACATTCCAATTTTGGCTCAATTTTGGCAGTTGCTGTAGTCTATAGTCTATCGGTATTTGTCGACATCTATCGAGATTTATCAATATTTATCGATAGGTATCGATCTTTATCAAATGGTAGCAAGAGTTTATATATCGAAATGCAAATCGCCAGCTTTAATTGTAGTTCCTCCTCTCAGACAGTCGAACGGCCTGAGGTCAGCTCCGTTTTTGCCCTTTTGTTGCATGCGTTGGCGCATAACCAAAACAACTCTCGCATACTCATTTTTCAATGCGTGCAATTACAAACAACAGCCAGCGAGAACTTAATAAAAGTTACTGCCAAATGCGGTTGCAGGTCAACAAATGACTCTTCAAAGACTCAGCATATTATTAACTACAAGCAAGAGTTGAACGCTTCCTGTGAACTAGCTGCCAATAAAGTTGTGTGTGTGTGTGTAAGAAGAAGAAGCTGCCAAGTCGAGGAATCGCTTATTACTGTAAAATCGATAAATATCGTTTATCGCTGTGCTGTCTTTTGAGCATATCTCGGCGCTTAGCAGAGCTAGCGACACCAAATTTGATAAGTAGACTCTGCTAGAGTGTGCCTAGCGGCAGTCTATATCATTTTTTGAATAGCTGCCCAAGAATTGTTAACAGGCGCTATTCTGCTAGGCTTTGATATTTACACATGTTCAGCTGTCATATTTAATTCCTGAATGTTTCCTAAAGATTCGACCATAAAAAACCGAATTATCGTTGAATATGCAAGCCAAACAGGGTCTGCGGGGCAAAGTGTATCTTCGGGTGCGACGAGACCCGACTGTATTTGTATTTTATTTAGTTTTTGTTGCGTCGTGCAGCTGTCGCTGGGTTAATATTTTAAATATTTCAAAAGCCTTTTGTGCCAAGCGCCGCGGGCGAACGCGTTTTATATTTATATCGACCTTTGATTTATGCCATCAACTATTTTTCTATTTTTGTATTAAAACTTGACTTGAAAGCTTTTATTTGCTGTCGCTCAAAAGTTCGCTATTATTGTCCGATTCGATGCAGTTCAAACCAAAGCTCATATCACAATTCGAGAGGGAGTGAGAGTGGGTGGGGGGAGGGGGGAGGGCCAGGGAATCCTTGTCAGTGCAGGGCGTACCAGGTGGTGCGACTGATGGCATCGCGCTGCTGCTGCTGCACGTGCTGTCCGCTCCGATCGATTGACGCCGGGCCCGGCTCCTGGTCGAGCAGCTGACGGACGATCGTCTCCCATTTCTGGAGCACGGCGGGCTGGCAAAGGAACTCGCATTCGCGCTGCTTGTTGCACAACAGAAAGGACTTGGACAGCGCCACAAAGCAAACATCGGGCAGCAGAAAATTGCCGCGCAACAGCTGTTTGCGCCCCTTCGACTCCGTGTAGATAAGGCAGGTGTTGAATGCAAACAATTTGCAGCTGTAGCTGCGCCGCAGCCGGCCATCGTTCAGCTGGAACTCGCCCACCGTAATGAAGCTAGCCTCGTTGAGTATGCTGAGCTGTAAGAGAAGTAAGGCACAGATGCATGTTCTGGGTCACGAGCAACTCGAAGACGTACCGCATTGAAGTGCTTGATATCATTGAGCTGATCCGACTGATTGGCCCGCTCCAGCAGCTCGCGCAGCCGCGTCTCCAGGCGGCAGGCCACCTCAAAGACGCGCTTCGAGATCAGCTGGCGATGCTCGTAGAATGCCTGGATGAATCTGCTCAACAGCAGCGGATATTTGGTAACACGCTGCACGGGCTTCAGCAGGAAGCTGCGTATGCCCAGCGGATCGCCCAACTGGATTTGCAGACGCTGCTAATGAGAAATGCATAAATAAAACCAATATCAATCAGCAGAAATCAGCAATATCAATCAACTAAATCAAGTTAAACAACAACATAATAGTTAAAGTTATTCTCTGTGCTAAGGCAAATCAATTGCACATCCATTTGAATATTAATAGAAAGTAATTTAATTGTAATTGCATTTGAAAGGGAAAACAAAATGTGGCCATCTTTGCAGCCATTTTTAAGCAGGCACAAATATTTACTCATAACAAATCGTTTTGCTGTAAATTGCCCGCACATTTTTCAGCTTCTTCTTCTACTTCTTTTGCATGAGCTAAAAATAGCAGGCAGCCATTACAAAAGGTTAGCAACGCCATCTTGTTAACGGCTACGTTTGATTTTATGGTTTCTATTGTGCGCCCAAAACAATCAAATAGGTGCGAGCGAGAGGCATGCATGTGGCTGTGATAATGTTAACGAGCGAACATTTTTCGTTCCCCATTTGCGACCATGCCCTACGGTGTGAGCGAGCAGGCAACAAATATCATCTTTCAATTCGCCATGAACTAAAGATTCGCCTCATTGCGCTTCGTTTTGATATTGCAAGTGCGTGCGCTCTCGCGCGAGCGCAAGGCTTTAATTCGCCTTCTGTTGCAAACTCGCCTCAATTCGCCTTTTGTTATGATACGGCAAGTGCTAGTGCGTGCGCTCTTTGCGCCTTTGCTGACGCCAGCAGGTTGATGACCTCAATTCGCCTTGCTATTGCCAGCGCAATTAGATTGCAGTCTTCAATTCGCCTGATGTCAGCTGTCATTGTATGGCGCTCTCGCTTCAACTTAGTGAGAGCAGGCGAGTGAGAAATACTTGTTGACGGCCATGTTGGGTCGAGTGCAGCGAAAGTTGAACGATCAGTGTATTGCTGTCTCGCTTCCGCCCAAGTGTCATGTGGCCATAGATTGCAAGCTCACTTGTGATTCGCCGTTGGCTTAGTTCGCTGATAAGCCAGTCAAGAAATCGAACACAAAGGGCCCGCATTTTGCTTACCTTAAAATAGAGCTCATGCTTGTAATAGAGCTGCAGACTGGCGCGCTGGCTAGCCGCAAAGAGCACGTAACAATTGAAAAAATCCTGATCGATGAGCGCATACCAACGCTCAAAGAGCAGCTCCAGCTGATGCCGATGCTGCAGCATCAGCGGCAAAAGTTTATATCTATGCAGTTTGACAATCTGTGTAACATACGGCAGCAGGACATGCTGCTGACCGACCAAACCGACGGGCAGCGACGGCAGCGGACTAAAGATTTGGCTATAGCGCTCAATTCCGCTGACCAGATCCTCCACATACTGCTGCTCCGTGCTGATCAGCTCGTGCAGCACGTGACGTGCACACTGCTCGGCTACATCGCTGCTGCTTGGTCTCGCACTCGCACTCGCACTCGCACTCGCGCTGGCGCTCATGCTGCAACGATGTTGGGCAAAGAACTGGCAACCGCTCGATTCGTGCAGCGCCAAGACCCAAGGCGCTGACTCAGCAGCAGCAGAAAGAGCAGCTGTTTCTTGGTTTTTGAATTGGTCCTATTTTGGTGCCGCTTAGTCAATCGCGCAATGCTGACTGTTTCGCTGTGGTTGCCGGCGACTCGGCGACTGGCACTGGCACTGGCCGCTGCATATGTCGCCGGGCAATTTAATTTTAATTACACTTTGAGCGGCGACTTGCTAAGCTTATTGCATTCTTTCTTTATTGTGCCTCCAATTTGAATGACAATTAATTGCTTGTGACTTTGTCCATTCTACAAATTAGCCACTGTCTTTAGCAGGTGCCGCACCTGTTTTTCAGTTTCAGCTGCTGCTGCACCTGCATACGGAGCGTATGCGCAATAAATAAATCAGCCGTAATTAAAAGCGTCCTGCGTCGTGCGTCTGGCGTCCTCCATAACCCTCCAGCCCGCCCATCTGCCTGCCGTGTCTGTCATCCCAAATTTGCGTTTCTCCTCCATTCGCTTTTGGTCCGCAGCTGAAGCCTTGGCGCCCGACTCGCAGCTATAAATTACGTTGTATTCCAGGAATTTGCGAGTGCAAACAACGGCAACAACAGCATTAAAAGCAACTACAAAATGGTATAAATTCATATTTCTGTTTGGCCTGCCAGCGAATCTACGCAAAAGATAACTCCGGCAAGAGCCAAAACAACACGAAAACGAAACCAGAAAAAACAAACGATAAAATAATAGAAAAAAGGCAAGAATGTAAAACCTGGAAACAAAAAAAAATAAAAAGGAAATGCGGCACGGCGCCAAAAGGCCAAAAGCGTTCCATAAATTGCGCCATGAAATCGGTCCGAGGGGGACAACTGGAAGACAAACTGATTGTGTTCCAACAGATACCCGACTGTTGAGAGGGTATGAGAGGGAATCTCGTCGAGAATCAGGCAGAAGTTAAAGAGCTCGCGAGACACAACAGAAAAAATATGCCTGAAAAGCTAAATGTCTGAAATAAAAATTTAATTTTCCTTAAATTAAAGCTCACTTAAGCTTTAATAAAGCTTAATTGGCTTCAGCCTAAAATAATACGCTAAAAAATAGTTAAAAATAAATATCGCATTCAGATTTAATTGAAGTTATGCCAAAGCTTTTAAGCAAGCTTAAAGCTCAAATGATTCAAGAGTTGCTCGCCAAGCAAGCATTAATGAGCTTTACGCTGAACTAGGTAGCTTTTGATCCAAGCTCATTAAAGCTTAAAGAGCGTTAAGATGTGTTGCCCTCATAAATTTTAAGTATAAGCATAAGCATAGGATAACCATAAATGGGCTTTAAGCAGGATACATGAGCTTTTAATTAAAACTTATTATGAGCTTTAGCCTAGAAGCTTAGCCTAGATTCCATCTGAACAGCTAGTTTATCAAGTTCGAGATTTGCTGGCGCAATATTTATGCATAAGGCAAGCATGAAAGAGCTTTAGAAGACTCATGAGCTTTAAGTATTTCCACATTTTCCACATTTGTGCGTGAAATTGAAAATTGAATGAACTTTCCGAAAAGTGTGAAACAAATATCTGACGAATTTTCACAAGGGAAAATAGGTTCAAAGCCGATCGGATGGTGAATAATAAAGTTGCATAGAACAATTTTTCGAGTTTATTCCACACTTGCGCGTGGAATTTACCAACACTCTTAAACCTCTTCGCGTTCGCCTATAGCACATAATGTAATTACAAGTTAAATATCAGTCAATCAATCAATCAGTCAGTCAGTCAACCATATGTGCAGCTTCGGCTCCGCATTGTCTACATAGAAATAGCTCTGACAGCACTTGAAAGCTCTCAGCCGGATTAATTGTACTTGGCTGCGTTGTCGAAGCTCAGTTCAAGATGAAAACTTGAAATTGTGTTGTTTTTTTTTCTCGCAACGTGTATTTACTTGTATCTGTTGATTGTTTGTGCGCTCGCAAGTGCTCAAGTAAATGAGAGGATTTTCTGCGAATCTCTGCAACATTTATTTATGAGTGAGTTTCTTAGTTGCCAAGCGATTTTGCTCGTTACGCCTGACACGCCCACCATTTCGAGAAGGATTGCGCCGCCAAACTTGCGGCTGATAACCAGTGTTGCAAAAGTGTTGCATACTTTGCGGCAGCCCTCGGAATGCAGCAAATGGTAAACACATTTTGGCCAGACAAGGCGTTGAGTGAGCCAAGTGCTCTGCTTATGGCCCGCTCGCTTAAGCAGGCACACACACACACACACACACACACACACACATGGGCCACAGCACGTAGCTCGGCTCAGGCTTCCATCAGCGGCTCCGCTAGATGCTGGACCAGCAGACGTGGCTGACATGCAGTGCGGCCAGCTCAGCTCTTTTCCAGCTAAATTCGGCTAGTTTTAGAGGTATTCAACGATAGGTTTACACGCGTCGGCTTTTGACATAAAGTAGATATATTTTTCGCTCTACCCACATATCTGCAAAAGCATAAGGCAAATATCTGGAAGTTTATTAAATCTCTCGCTTTTCTTTCATCTATTTTGATAATGTGGCAACTCTGAGATGCCCTCGGCCCTGACAATTTCCTAAAAGAAAGCTGCATAAAAGGTGGCAGCATTTAATCCGGTAATATTTTGCATAGTTGACAACCCTGGCATTGTGTGTTATCTCTTTAAAGCTATTTCTTAAATATTTTTAGCTATTTTTAAAGCTGTTTTTTAGCTTTCTTAAAACTGAACGAAGCTACGTCTTTTTGTCTTCTCTTTTCTTTGTCAGCGACAGTTGGCAACACTGGCTACGAGCGGCTGGTCCGCCACTTAGTGCGCCATTTCGCTGCCAGCTTAGTTTAATGTGCCCAAGTTGAAAGAGGATGATGGAGGAAGGGGTGGGTGGGGGTGGCGGGGCAGTGCTACCCTGTTCCTTACGGCTAAAGTGTTTCGCTGTGCTCGTGATTGACGTGCCGCGATGACAGGGCGTGTGATGTTGCTTCCCCACTTCCGCTTCTCTCTCTCTCTCTCTCTCTCTCTCTCTCTCTCGCTCTTGCTACCTCTCTCTCTCTGTCTTTCTCTCTCTCTAGTCGCAGATCGATAAGCCGCCGGACAAATCCCGCTGTTGTCCCTGTTAAGCCCTGCTCAACATGAATATGCAGCAGCTGCGATTTCTTAGCTGCGCGTTGCCCAAACATATTACCCCAAGATATAAACAGACACCATTTCGTAGAGTTTCAATATTTACCGAGACGCATTGCCAAATAAAGTCCGCAGCCTCGCTGTGAATGGATGCCAGGGTATATTGTCTTTTATGTCCATCTCGTTGAGCTCGTTAAATACAAAGTCTAGAGTTAAGAGAATCTTTATGTATGCTCATCTATGCCGAATATCGATAATTACATTAATTTCGATGCTGAGGTATGGTCTTTTGAGCATAACTCGACCTTCCTTTCAGCGAGCTCTTTTCAGCTTTGTGTGGAATGGATGGAAGTATCTATCAATATGGAGTGAAATAATTTTCTACTCTTCTGGAGGGTATTATAATAATGTCATGAAAAGTGTAACGCTTAGAAGAAGACCCTAAATTAAGTATATTCCAGATTAGCATCAATAGCCGATTTGATAAAGCCAAGTCTGTCAATCTGTCCGACTGTCAGTCTGTCTGTCTTTATGTCTGTTTCTATTGCGAACTAATCTCTCAGTTTAAAAGCTCAGCTCTAAAGCAGACAGAACATATGTAGAAATCTTATCAACATCGAACCATATGAAAGATTTCTCGAAAACTCGACTTTTACTAATTTCGCCGTGCTTCTGAGATGCAAATCGTTATGAGCATCATGAAGAGGTTCGGTCTGCAAAGGGTATTTAAAATCTGCGGCGTGCCACAGATATCGCTACTCTCTCGTTCTCAGTGCAGCATGATTCGCAGCTTATCCTGGCCACTTTCTGTTGCTGCCGCTGCTGCTGCTGCTGCTCGTGTATCTGATGGATGCATTTGTATCTTTGGCTGCTTTCAAAGCTGTTTGCTTAGCTTGTGCTGGCGATTAAAGGATTTTGTTGCTGTTGCTGTTTGTTGCTGCTGATTAAACATAATTTATGTTGCTGCAAGTGGCGACCATTAGCGCATCCAGCTGCCAACTGGCGGTTGCCTGGCGCCAGTCGCCCAGCTGCATGATAAATGCGCCACATTAGCGAGCGTACCCTCCCCTCCCCCTTAACGCCAATCCCAGACCCCGTTCCTCTTTCGACTAGGGAAAGGTATTGCAGCTGATCGGACATTTTGGTTAATTTCGCTGCGGGAATTTTAAATCATCTTTAAATTAGGGTCATGCAAACTCAATAAACCAAAAGGCGGAAGTGCGGCGGGTGGCGCGTGACTGCTTGGCGAATGTGTTGTGCGTGCGCCTGTGTGTGTGTGTGTGTGTGTGTGTGTGTGTCTGTGTGTGGCAGCAACAACTCAATTAGCGGCACACACACACACACGAGCTCCACACACATTTGCCACAATTTGGCAAACAAATCACGTATCAGCTGCCGTTGCTCCACTTGCCTGCCCCCTACCCCCAACTCCGCCCCCGTCTGTTACATATCCAACACCCCCCCCCCCCTCTGTCTACCCTTCCCAGCTTGTACACATTTTGTAGACTAACGCTTCGCCTTTGTTGTTTCATTTTTGCTGATTTCTCCTCGCCCTTGCGGTGGGGCATACGAATGCACAAAATAACTGAATTTGTCATGTTAGTTGCGACCTGTAACCCGCACCCACACCCTCACCCACATGCACACCTCCCCCCTTGGGGCGAGCATAGGGTTTGCTCATAATGCCTTAAATTAGTTACATATATATATATATCTATATGCATTTCATCATGTATTCGACATGTCATGACTCGCTGAGATACTGATTGACTGACTGACTGAAAGAGTGATTGACTGACTGATTGACAGATAAACTGATTAATAGACTGATGAATTAACTGAATAAATACAGT